TTAATAAGAGTTTGGAATGCTACCTCCAGTCAATATTGTATATATTACAACAATAGTGTTCTAACCAACCACTAGCAAAACTCATCCTTTCACCCCCCTTCCCCCCCCCCTCATCTCCTCCCTTCTCTCTAGTATTTTTCTTCAATTATCATCAAGTATCAATCCCTCCCCTTTCCCCAACATTCCGGTCTAATCATTTCCGCTTCCCATTTCCTACTTATATCATTCTGTCTCAATTCTCTATTTTTGTACGTTTTTACACCTAGTAGACGAATACTTATGTAAATAGGGGTTTCGAACCATCAATATCTGGAATCGTGGAGAAGAATTAGTTAAGTAGGTGTCTGGAGTATTTAAGCATAAATGCCCAAAATTGCTTTCGGATATAAATACAACGGTGTTATGTAATTTCCCCATCGCAATTTCTCCAACCCCAACTTCCCAAAAGCAATATCCCCAGCCGGTATTTTCCCAACCCAAAATTCCCCAATCACTAATTCCCCAAACACAACTTTGCCAACAAAAAGTTCCTCATCCAGTAAAGACTAAATATTTCCCTTATTACGATTATCCTAATGAAATCATCAAGTTCTCTTCAGTTCTAACGGTATAATAACCATCAAATTCAATATAAAATATAAAAAATCACAAGAAAATCACAAAAAAAAGTTATAAAAACAAGAAAATTGGTTGTGAGATGAAAAAGGGGAACGAACTCAGATGATGATATGCAAAAAATATAATTTGGAAATTTTCACTTATTTTATTTCTACTGTTTTCCATATCTTCAGGAGATACTACCCTAGCTTCATCTATACATAATCCAATATCTCAAGTAAATAATTTTTTCCTTTCATATTTTCAAATTTGAGAACCATCTTTAAAAACAAGCTTTAACCTAAGAAAATAAAAAGTTTATATTCAAATTATAGAAGTTTATTCTCTAGTTTTAATTTCAATATAAAAGTAATAATTTCTTTTTAAATTGTTGAACTTGACTTAAAGATAACAAGTTAAATTTAAAATAGTCAAAAATTGGGTTCTTGTCAGGTTTTTTTTATATGTATGCTTTATATTAAAACATCTTGAATCAATTTGCTCAAAAGAAATTAATTTATAACTTTGAATTAAAAATATCCAGCATTTATTTGCGAACCTTACCTTAATGGATATGTTTTTAAATCTTTAAAAGGTAGTTTCTATATTTTCATTTTTAACCTTTAAACAATTCTTGAGTTCAGATAAACAAAAAGGAAACAGATTACAAGTAAAGACCCCCCCCCCCCCTCCCATAGTGTTTCAGCGTATATATTTTGTATACAATTTGAAGAACTAAAAACTTTGCTGGTCATGTAATAAGGTTTACGCAGCTGACACAAGCAGTGAATTAGCTACACTGGCTACAGTCGATACACTAACTAAAGTAGCTACAGTAGCTACACTAGCTACAATAGCTACACTGGCTACAGCAGCTACACTAGCTACAGCAGCTACACTAGCTACAGTAGCTACACTGGCTACAGTAGCTACACTGGCTACAACAGCTACACTGGCTACAGTAGCTACACTGGTTACAGTAGCTACACTAGCTACAATAGCTACACTAGCTACAATAGCTACACTAGCTACAGCAGCTTCACTGGCTACAGTAGCTACACTGGCACTAAAGTAGCTACAGTAGCTACACTAGCTACAATAGCTACACTGGCTACAGCAGCTACACTAGCTACAGCAGCTACACTAGCTACAGTAGCTACACTGGCTACAGTAGCTACACTGGCTACAGTAGCTACACTGGCTACAGTAGCTACACTAGTTACAATAGCTACACTAGCTAAAATAGCTACACTGGCAGAATTTAGAAGATATTAGAAAAGAAATATACACTAGAAACTAGAAACTAAAACTAGAAACTTGAAACTAGAAACTAGAAATTAGAAACTAAAAACTAGAAACTAGAAACTAGAAACTAGAAACTAGAAACTAGAAACAAGAAACAAGGAACTAGAAACTAGAAACTAGAAACTAGAAACTAGAAACTAGAAACTAGAAACTAGAAACTAGAACTAAAAACTAAAAACTAGAAACTAGAAATTAGAAACTAGAAAATAGAAACTAGAACTAGATACTAGAAACTAGAAATTAGAAATTAGAAACTATAAACTATAAACTATAAACTAGAAACTAGAAACTAGAAACTAGAAACTAGAACTAGAAACTAGAAACTAGAAATTAGAAACTAGAACTAGAAACTAGAAACTAGAAATTAGAAACTAGAAACTAGAAACTAAAAACTAGAAACTAGAAACTACAGTGATAACCAGAAAACAATGGAATAGAAAGACGTCATTACAGCAATACTCAAGTGTATTTGATGGTGCAAAAAAGCAAATAGTTGGGTCTGTTTACACTGCACAATTGCTGTGGTTCATGGTTATTGAACTTTTTAAAGTTAAAACTTGATTCTCAAAGTCGTCTTCCTATTTCAGAGTTTTCTGGTTATCACTGTATATCTGGGAATACCAAGGATGAGTAGAGTATAAAAGATATTAGAAAAGTAAGAAATATAAAATAGAAAATATATTTAGGAATACCAAGGATGTGTAGAGTATAGAAGATATTAGAAAAGTAAGAAATATAAAATAGAAACTATATCTAGGAATACCAAGGATAGTAGAGTATAGAAGATATTATAAAAGTAAGAAATATAAAATAGAAACTATATCTAGGAATACCAAGGATAGTAGAGTATAGAAGATATTAGAAAAGTAAGATATATAAACTAGAAACTATATCTATGGAATACCAAGGATGAGTAGAGTATAGAAGATATTAGAAAAGTAAGATATATAAACTAGAAACTATATTTTAGAAATACCAAGGATGAGTAGAGTATAGAAGATATTATAAAAGTAAGATATATAAACTAGAAACTATATCTAACCAAGGATAAGTAGAGTATAGAAGATATTAGAAAAGTAAGATATATAAACTAGAAACTATATCTGAGAATACCAAGGATGAGTAGAGTATAAGAAGATATTAGAAAAGTAAGATATATAAAATAGAAGCTATGTCTGGGAATGTCGATGAAAAAGTTAAACAAAAACAGTTTTGTTGTATTCTCTGTATAGTATATAGTCTTGCTATCTATAGATTATAGACCTATAGGAATAGATAGGTCAGATAATTGCAGGCTATATTGCAGTTTCTTCCCCTGTGCTATTCTGTATTTACATTGACAAAATTATCAAGCTATTACGATGTTCAACTATTGGATGCCAAATCCAGGGTGTCTATATGGGCATCTGGGTATATGCAGATGATATTATCCTGCTTTCTCCTAGCAGAACAGGTCTTCAGGAAATGGTGAAAATTTGTGAAAATTTTGCCAAAGCTACTAAGCTGAAATTTAGTACAAATATTCGAATCGAAAAATGTAAAACTAAATGCCTTATTTTTTCTAAAGAAAGGATTAATTACAATGAAATAACCCCAATTTTATTGAATGAATTACCTTTACCATTTGTTAACGACTTAAAACATTTAGGAAATGTTCTTCAAAGTGATAATTCAATGACCATAGATTGCAATAAAAAACGAGCTATTTTCATTTCAAAAATTCATTCTCTTAACCAAGAATTTTATTTTAACAGTCCTGATGTCATTTTGAAACTGTATAATATTTACTGTTGTAGTTTTTATGGATCTAGTATTTGGGACTTGAGTTCCCAATGTGTTTCAAAATTGTATACAGCATGGAATACTGCTATTAGAATTCTTTTTAATGTACCTAGAGATACGCATAGGTACTTGATTGAAAGTATTTCACAATGTTTACATGTAAAAACTATGTTAGCTAGCAGATGTGTGTCTTTCTATGAGACTATTGAAGCAAGTTCTAAGCTTTGCATTAGATTTCTTTCTAATTTATGTANTTTATCACTTGATTTTAAACAAATTTTAACTACACCATTTATATATGTATTTATATCTTTGTGTGTGAATAAATCTTTATAATAATATCCAACTATCCATCTATCTATCTACCAATTCACTATCCTACTGAATAGTTACTTAATCTTTCAAACGCTTATCATACCCGGGCAAAAAATAATTTTTGGTTGAAAAAAAAAGTTATAGCAACTTCTTTTTTGCTTTAATTTTGGGGGATCTTCCCAAAAAATTTTAATTTTGTAAAGCATATTCATAAGTTTCTCGTTCTAGGATATAAAGCGAGGAGTTGACCTTTTAAGTTGTCCATTAGTTTGAAAATTAGAGCGGACGGAGAACTATAGAACCGACCACACACACAGCCAGAGATTGGTCAAAAAGGGTCCAACTACCTACACTTTTTATCCTCGCCACTGCTCCATTGTGGGCCGGGCAAATGACGCCAATTTTGCGTAAAAATATGGCGTTTAGTGTAATAGTTGCGTAGTATTTCATGTTAATTATCCCCGGCTGTCAAGGGGGTAGTCTCAGAAATCTTGTTTTTATCAGTTGTATCAACTCATTTCTCATTTTTCCACCTTCATAAATTCAATATTTTCTGCAACTATAATTGTTGGTTGTATGAACTGTAAGGATGAAGTAGGACCGCCCAGGGATGCTTAACTGAAAAAAAAACTCTGAGAAATCATTAAATTCAACTTAGGAAATCTTGGGTTATCTTTACAGTCGAGTACTTAACTTGGACGTTGGACTAGATTTAATTTCAACGTGAAATACAACTTAAAAACTGAAATAATCTCTTTTTGATCCTTCATTTTCATTCCCTTTTCCTTCGTTTTACCATCCTCATCTCATCTTCACATTCCTCTTCCTCACTTTATAAACGTTTCCTTCGTTTTACCATCCTCATTTCGTCTTCACATTCCTCTTTCTCACTCTATAAACGATTCCTACTACTTCACACTTCCTCCCCGTCTCTTCCAAAATGTTCCTTCCTCTCTTTCCTCTTTTTAAATTTTTCCTTTTGTAAATTCCTTCTTCTTCTCTTTCCTTTAAAAAACTTCTCTTTATTTTCATCTTAATTTTAGAAGTACACCATGATTGTTTTGATTGATCCAGGTTCAAGAACAACATCAAGTCCATCAACCTCATCAACTGAATCCCTGTTTAAAGGGACTGTCGACCAAAGTTCAAGTTACCATCACTTTATAGAGTTACAAGTTCGATTCACAGCGGTACTTTAAAAACCAGAGTAACAATGATCAAGGAAGATATTAACGGTTTTCTATCTCAAAAAAAGATAAATTCTGTAAAATGTTCGATGTTTAAATAAAAAGCTAAGGATATCTCCACATTTTTTGCTCTAACCAAGAGAATCGTTGTAACTCTTTAAATCGAGGGTCACTTGAAATAATGTCAACAGTTCCTCAAAATAAAATTATTGAATTTTTTTTTGTAAACATCAAAATTATTTCGTAATTATTAACCAAAATTAAGTAAAACATTAACTCACAAACAACTGAGAGGTTTCGTGATATTCGAAAGTATAAAGATAGAGAAGTATTTTAACTAAACCCCCAACTTTTTAATTTAATCATTCAAAACTCTGAACCCATCAGAGCCTGAAATTTAAAAGAGTATCGTTGAACGAAACTTCCGAGTTTCCTTTTTGGGGTCTTAACATTAGTGAAGATTTTGATTTAAGAGATTTGATAAAAATGGTAAGATATAAAGGATTAAATAAAATAATATTTCAAAACAAAAATATCGATATCTACAAAACTGGGTAAACCCATTTGTGAAACCCGGGTTCCAAAACTGGTTTTCATAACGAAACCCTGTCTTAAGTTTTGGGCTCAGGCAGAAATGTACTGTGGCCGTGGGACATTACATGATCCAAGCCTTTACTACATATCTCCGGTCAGTTTAAAAACGATGTCTAAATTTAAAAAAATGACATTAAAATCTTGAAATGTGCAAAACTTTTTAAAAATTTTTTTTTTAGAAAATAAAATGTGTTAAGGCAAACATTTGAAAGCTAAAATTGTTAAGAGAGAGAGAGAGGCGCGAAGCGCTCTGTAGTTGATTATCATAAACTTTATACCTGGTGAATATATTCTTATGTTTCAAGTTTGGAATAGAATTGGATTCATGAATCCAATCCATTCGTTTTACTTGGGATTTTAATCTGTTTCCATCTAAATACAAAGGAAAAACAAAATCAATGCAAATATTTATTTATATAACGTGAAACCCTTAATAACGAATACATCGGAAGAATTTATAAAATGTCGTCTTGACAATTTTTCAATGAGTTTTATATTACGTAAATTTCAGTATTTGCGAAAATAAATAAATAACCATGAATATGCGGGTTAAAGAGTTTCTTATAATCATTTAGTTAAAAAACTAAATATCTGCAACATTCCATTATCAGAAAGGGAAGAATACGACATTTGATGAATTCTTTCGATGTATTCGTTATTAAGGGTTTCACTGTAGAAGAAAAGTTTTTCTCGAAAATGTGTGTGAGAAAGATATTTTTTTTTCCTTTTCCTGATATTTGCCATTTATTCCACTTTGATTCATTTGATGATTAACAAAAAAATGTACTTTCTTCATTCACAAACCAAGAGAAAAAGGAAGGAAGGAATGCAGCATAAACAAGAAAATAGTGTTAAATAAATGTCATCTTCTTGTCTTCTTTTAATTTTTATGTCAATCCACAACTTCTCTGTGTTTACTTGTATTGAAGAAAGCTTGTTAGATATGAAATGTTAAATTGAAAAGGCATCTTCATTTTATTGAGAAAAACGCTGACCACTGTATCACAGTACTAATTACCTAAAGTCATCTCTTGAATCTTAGAAACCGGTTTTCCAGGAAACAGGTCTTGTACATGTACGGTATAGGACTCCAGTACATCACTCAGTATATTCTCCAATCTCACTAAGCACTATTACAGTTAGGGAAGGTCTGGGTCACATTTTGTGATATTTTTGAAATCTTGAAAATCTGAACACTTTGATGTTAACAGTTTTGGGAAAAAGTTGTGCGTATAGGTCTAGATATTAGGGATGATCGTTTGTGCAGTAAGACCTTAAAAATTTATATATTTATATATCACTATGTAAGAAATCTAGCCCCGAGATAACTCAACGATAACTTAACTCAAAGTCTAATTAGAATCTAACTGACTCTATCTCTGGCCAAAACTCAAGGCTCTGTAAACGTCCGTGTTAATCAACAATTCGTATTCAACTACTTTATTTTATATACAGGTAAAATCAAAACTGACCGTAATGGACAGTCAGGGTCAACATTGAAATAGATAAGATATATTACTAACATAGATAATAAGGATCATACGGGACATGACATTACAACAGAATATAATATGCTATAACTATATAGGCCCCCCAAAAAATATTTTAAAAAATAACATGCTACACCTAATAACGTTCTTGGAAATTTTAGACTGAATTCGAATTTTGAAACGAATTTTGAAAAAATAAAATAAAATCAAATTAGCTAGAACACAAACTCACCAAAAACATCAAAAAGGTTATAACGCAAATTTTTGGGCTGTTTCATCGTTTTAGCTTATTCAGTTGTAAATGTTTTTAAAATTAATTTTCGAATTTTAATTTTTAGCATAAAATTTCAAAGAAAATGATTTAAATGATTTAAATAACAATGAAACACATGTATCAGTATGTCAGTATTTAAAATTAATTTACAGTGAAATCGAAAGCAATTTTTTAATATTTTATCACAAAGAAAAATTATATTTACCGAGAATTTGATTTTGAGTCCATTTTTCCATCGTGAGAAGTTTAATGTAATCTGGCAGATTAATGGATGTTCTAGGCTTAGCGTTAAATCTAGAAAAAATAATAATAAAGTTGAAGAAATTAGCTCCTATTTTAAGACGTATAGTGATACAAATAAGATTAAAGGAACTGTAATTTCAAGTGAGCCTTCATGAAGATGAATCACAACGGTGCTTTTAAACTTTTGTCTGAAGGTATTAGAAATCCTTGTTTTTTTTACTGAAATTGGTTATTTTCAAGAGAATCTCAGGTTTGCTCCTGATATAATTATTTAATTTTCATTTTGCAATTTTTATAGATATAATTGATAATATTATTACATATAGTCAAGTATAGTCCGTATTACGTCACCAGAACTTCAGACAATGGCAGTGCAGTATACTGGTCACGTGATTTCCGTCCGTTTCACGTGACCAGTATACCGCACTCTCATTGGCGGGAGTTCTTGTGACGTAATACGGACTTCTTGCATGGGATATAATCGTTTTCAGATTGTTTGCGTATTTACTGAATATGATCTGTTTAAACCAACAACTTTTATACAAAATTTCATATATATAGATTTTCGTATTATTTTGACACAGTTTATATCAATTTCTCGAGACAGTACATTTTCAGGTTTCGTTTATATCAATTTCTCGAGACAGTAAATTTTCAGGTTTTATCCTATAACCCCTTTTATTTTTCCTTTACAGTCCCTTTAAAGGGTACCATCGGACATACCACCTTATAAAGGAAAGGTATCTTATAAATACATTAACATTGATAAAGCTTTCTGTTGTATAAACATAGTGTTGAATCTAAAAATATGTTTGATAAATGCTGACAATTGTTAGCTTTTTTTAGATTTTCATTAAAATAGAATAAAAATTATGTAATAAATTGCCAGAGGTCGGAACTTGAAATCCACAACTGACACTTTAAAATTATACGTAATTAAATTTTTTACATTTAACGACTAAGGTCTAATCCTGACTTTTACTTGGCATGAAGCTTTGAAACATCTGGAGAGACAGGTCTAAAAAAGGAGTTTAAGAACGATTAAGAATTAATTTCTGGGAGAATTAGTAAGTAATATAGCTGAGAAAAGTTCCGATATATGAAACCTCTACCTTGAGTTGGGTCCACATGCTTCTCCGAAAAGTATTACTGGAGCAGCAAATATCTCTTCAGCTTTCCTTGCACTTTCATCATCACAGTTAGTTCCACACAGTACAATACTAGGGACAAATATTTATTCTTTTACAGTTTTTAGCTCTTGACATTAGGATGAGAAGAATATTAACAAATAAAATAAGCACGAAACTAACTAAATCTAAGTATGTCTTTATGCGTTTAAACATATCACAGCTCGGTACTTGTCACGCGAAACCAACTACATCTTGGTATGTCCTGGCTATGTCGGAATAGACTCTCTCAAAAAGTTTTTTAAAAAAAGAAAAATTTATGAACCCCATAACATAGTTAATATCAAAAACATATTTAACAACAAAAAAAACAATGGAAATACGAAACACAAGTATTATATTTGAGAAAATGGACTTGAAAATGAAGGTTAAAAATAATTTGGAATTGGCTCCTATTTGTTAAAATAAAACAACTTGGTTGAAATAAATGAAAAATGAAATAATCTTTTTTATTTCCATTTAAGCCACTTACAGTTCTTTGTTTAATCCCCCCTAATACAGTATACAATTATGTATACATTATAAATTTGTATAGGAAGTGAATACCAAGGATGAGTAGAGTATAGAAGATATTAGANTCACCCTTTCTCTATACGTACACCTCTGATATTTAAACTTTACCTATGTTTTCCTCTGACAACTAGCCCCTCTCCGAAAGCGGTTTCGTTTAATGCTTCTCCTACTCCGAATGCATCATCATGGAGTAAACGTCTAACAGAAAAAAAAACATTACAAAGAAAAATATACTTTATACGAATTAGAATATTTGTTTTCATTTCTTATTTTGTGACATAATGTAAGAGTTTTTGAGATATCAAAAATTGAGAAAATCATAGTTCGACCAAAGAACGATTTCATAATACTTTATTTATGGAATTTTTTTATGTCTTCTGATTGGAAAATAGATAGACGTACCTATAAAGATATTTTAGGTGGGAATTTTAAAAAGTTGACAACACTTAAATGAAATAAATTAAATTATTTGTTTTTCATAAATATAGATTACGTTTTGTAAAAATTAATTTAATAGTTCTCTTATTTTGTTTGGAACAAAAGTAGATGAAGATACGACAGCGGTGTTTGTTGGAACTGAAATGGGGAAGCAAATCTAAAGCTTCACTTTTAAAACTGTAACAATAAATTTTCCTTTTTAAAATACAAAACTGGAAAAAGACAACAAAGTTACTACACTACATGTACCTATGAATCATGAGCTCTATTTCTCCGCTTGATAAACTTGAACCTCCCTCACTCCTATCTGGAAGAATCCACAAACTTGCGTCAGAATCATCGCTAAAACATTGTTTTTCGTCTTCAGTATTTTGATATCAAACCTATTTTATTTTCATAAACTTTGTTTAAAAACGAGAAAAGTTTGTAAAAATTAGTTAAAAATAAGTTTAAACTATTGTTCCTGTTTGCTCCTGATTTTACCAGATTCCTATCCTTGAGTAGAGCGGATACTAGTTTGCTCCTGGTTCTACCAGATTTCTATCCTGAAGTTGACCGGAAACTAGTTTGCTCCAGGTTCTACATGATTCCTATCCTTAAGATGACCGGATCCTAGTTTGCTCCAGGTTCTACATGATTCCTATCCTTAAGATGACCAGATACTAGTTTGCTCCAGGTTCTGCCTGATTCCTATCCTTGAGTTGACCGGATCCTAGTTTGCTCCAGGTTCTACCTGATTCCTCTCCTTGAGTTGCCAGATACTGGTTTGCTCCAAGGTCTACCCGATTCCTATCCTTGAGTTGATTGTAAAATCTAAACTATTATTTTAGGATAAACTACAGCCTGAAAGAAGAAGGCTGAACCAGTGTGATCCAGTCAAGAACTATCTCTGCAGGAAGATTAAATAATCAAGAACATTCCATTTAATCCTGTCAAACTCCAAGTTAAAAGAATATCAAGATGTAATTTAATTCTGGAATTTAAAAACTAAGATATAATGTAAACCAAATTTTTATAAAGCATTTTAAAGGAAATTAATTTTGGCACATTTAAAATGTTAAAACTGTAAACATGCAATATTTAATTCAAAGCTATCATGGTTAATAATGATCGTCATGTTGCAGATTATCAAAGGAGGTCAAGATCTGTAAAGACTTACCCCCTAATCCTTTCTCAAGAAGTGATCCGTTAATTCAAATGAAATTTGAGGTACAAAAAAGTTATCCTACATCATGTATTCACCCAGCTTTAACAAAGATCTCGCGGTGATCTACAGCACAGAGCTGGTACGGAAAACCTCCCAGGTATTGTTTAAATCTAATATGTGTCAAACATTAGATTAACAATAATTCCTATGCAGGCAGAAAGAATCTGAGGACGACCGTACGTTTTGTTTATTTACTACGTACTTCTCTCGCTCTTGAGGGATTGTTTCTAGGTCAATTCCAGCAGGTGAATATTATTCCTGATTTAATAATTATTATATTAAGTATAAAATCGTTCTAAACCTGACTTTAAACTAATCCAGAAGTATCCTAATCTACGTGCATTCATCCTACGAATCAAGGAAGAATTGTTATAGGGTAGTTATAGCACTTCTATTGTTTCGACGCTGAAAATTAAATTGATAAGACGCTAAAAGCTGAAAAGTGCACATTGACTGGATACTAGTAATTGCTCCTGGTTCTACCTGATTCCTATCCTGGAATTGACTGGATAATAGTAATTGCTCCTGGTTCTACCTGATTCCTATCCTGGAATTGACTGGATACGAGTAATTGCTCCTGGTTCTACCTGATTCCTATCCTGGAGTTGACCTGATACTAGTAATTGCTCCTGGTTCTACCTGATTCCTATCCTGGAATTGACTGGATACTAGTAATTGCTCCTGGTTCTACCTGATTCCTATCCTGGAATTGACTGGATACGAGTAATTGCTCCTGGTTCTACCTTATTCCTATCCTGGAGTTGACTGGATACTAGTAATTGATCCTGGTTCTACCTGATTCCTATCCTTGAGTTGACTGGATAATAGTAATTGCTCCTGGTTCTACCTGATTCCTATCCTTGAGTTGACTGGATAATAGTAATTGCTCCTGGTTCTACCTGATTCCTATCCTGGAATTGACTGGATACGAGTAATTGCTCCTGTTTCTACCTTATTCCTATCCTGGAGTTGACTGGATAATAGTAATTGCTCCTGGTTCTACCTGATTCCTATCCTTGAGTTGACCGGATAGTAGTTTGCGGCTACAGGTTCAGTCAGATTTAGGTCCCAAGTTTCCCTGTGATCTCTTTGTCGTTTGATAAGTCCACGACCATTGCTGTCAGTGTAAAATATATCATCACTTACCAGATCTAAAGAAGTAACGACAGAATCAAAAACAAAAACAACAATGACTACAAGAACAAAAAAAGAACAACTGGAGTGTTCGTGAAAAATGAAAGGGGTATAGGCTTAATGTGATAAAAAACGCTTTTGATCGCTACTAATAAACTATTTACGAATGCGGCAAAAATAATCGATGACTATTGTTTGTAATATCTGAATGATTTGTTTGGAATAAAATTGATTTGTTTACGATCCGAGTTGAATGTTGTATCTTGCTGAATTTGTATGGACACTATGTTCTTCGGGATTAGTCATTGTTAACAATTTTCTCCTTATAGACGCAACAGATAGAAGTAAGATTAGTAGCGATAAAAACGCTTTTTTTATCGCGTTAAGCCTATACCCCCTTTCATTTTTGGCGAACACTCCCTTTAAAAACAACTTTAAGAACAACAATAACTGCAAAAACAGCAACAGCAATAAAATTAAAAACAACAATAACGCAGTAACAACAACATAGATAACGGCAGTTACATCCCTTGTAATCATTTTTTATTTATTTATTTATTTATTTATTTATTTATTTATTTTAATCATTTTTAATCATTTAATTCTGAAATGATTTGAGTCGGATGAGTAAAGTTTAAAAAGGAGGGATGTTTACCTGTTTTATATTTAGTAATGATTTCCTTCCCCCCGTCTTCTATTGGTATCGGCCCAACCATCCACTCAAACTCAAGGCTAGACGAATCCTTGTAGACCCGGATAACTTGGCTCAACCAAGGAGAGTAAACCTGATGGATCTCTTGAACCAAGGATCCTTAAAAAAGGATTGTAAAGTTTGATTTCAAGGGTCTTTTAAATAATAAATGAGATGCAATCTGAGAACAAAAATGTTCAATCCAAAATCATTGGTCTGCAACTTTAAGGAACTTGCTGTAAACTCTAATTTTCAAAATACTAAATCTTTTCAATCTGATATTTCAAGTGAAGAATATTTAACCTAACAGTATTCATGGGTTGAAAAATTAAAATCATAACACCAGGTTGCAATGGTTATAAGATTATAAGATTTGAATTTATAGCGAGATTTAGTTCGTTTGCCAAGGCTACGAGAAAAATGACACTATATTTATTGGGATAAAGAAATTTCTGTGAGTAAAATAAAAATCTTTTTATTAAGAGTATAACTTAGTATCTCGTTCTCCCAATGAAAACTATAATCTGATGGAAACACAGAGCTGAGATGGTTAATATTTTTCATTCTACCTTTAAGTAAAGTTGCTGAGGTTGGATCTCCAACAAGGTTGGTTTTGGTTCCGCTAGAACGGAATATATACCTTTAAGTAAAGTTGCTGAGGTTGGATCTCCGACAAGGATGGTTTTGGTTCCGTTAGGACGGAATATATACCTTTAAGTAAAGTTGCTGAGGTTGGATCTCCCACAAGAATGGTTTTGGTTCCGTTAGGACGGAATATATACCTTTAAGTAAAGTAGCTGAGGTTGGATCTCCGACAAGGATGGTTTTGGTTCCGTTAGGACGGAATATGTAGGCTCCAGAAGCTCTCCTTGTATACTCACTATTATCCCCAACTGCAGGCTCATACCATTCAAAACTCTTAACAAATATCTTTGTTAAGATTTAATTTCACACACAAATATAATTAATTTGATATTGTGTAGACTGTGATACTTAATATTGTTTTTTAAATAAGCCAAATCAAAGAATAATACATATATACATTTTCAAATTTCAAAAACAATTTTTTTCTAAAAATCTCTAAAGGCAAAAAAAACCACTTAGAAAGCAGATTAACAGATTCACAGAAGTATTTTGTAATCTTTGTCCAACCTGTTAGTGTGCCTGGGAAACAGAACAAATGTGATATAACCAACCCCTTCTCCTGTTCTAGCCTTAGTGTCTTTCAGACCCATTGGAGGCTCCTGCAACATTTAATTAGAATGCAACTTTCATCATCTTTACATCCTTTAACAGGAGACAAAATTTATTTCAACATACCCTTTTTATAGAATGGAATGTCGATTCACAAAGGTAACATTCAAAACAATCTGCTCGAGAATAAATACTAATGTTTTTGTAATAAAAAAATTAATTGNAAATATATAAATATATATATATATGATGTTTCAAAGTAATCTAGGCATCTTTTTAAATAGTCGAAACATTTTCAGAAATATATTCATTGGAATTAAACATGTTGATTCAGTAAAATATTAAATTTTAAAAGAATTAAGATATATAAACATAAGTAAATATTTTGAACAAGTCGTAAATCAAAGTAAAGCATTATTCTAGTTTTTCTTCATCCGGGATGAAAACATTAAATACCATTTGATATTATTCAAAGGGATCAGCAGTTTAAAGAGTGTCATGTCTGATGCACAAAGGGGCCATTTAAAATTTAACTGCATGAACAAAAATGTATCTTTGTTAATTTATTTTAAAATCTAAAGTTATCAAATGCGGGTTTTCAAGAGAAGAAGATAGAAAACTGATATGATATTCAATTCATATAAACAAAATGATCAGTTATTTTAAAATCACATTTGATTGATTTAAAGACAATGAACAAAACAGTTGTTTCATCTTATATATTTGTCTCATTATAAACTATAAATTATAAACAGTTTTCTCCCATACCTGTTTCATATTTATATCTTGGTCTTCAACCTTAATATTTTCTATATTTCCATTTTCTGATAAATATACTTTAATATTATCATTCTCTACAGATAATCCTCGCCATTTTCCTAAAATATAATATCTATAAAAGATAATCCTCGCCATTTTCCTAAAATACGATATTTTAAAAGATAGTACCAATCATTTTCCTAAAATACAATATTCAAAACAGACTGTCCCTCCTTTTCTAGAATTCAATATTCATAATGATAGTTCCCGCCATTTTCCTAAAATACAATATTTATAACTGATAGTCCCCGCCATTTTCTTGAAATACAATATTTATAACAACTAGTCCCAGTCATCTTCCTAAAACACAATATTTATAACAGATACCCCCTCCCATTTTCCTAGAATACAATATTCATAACAGATAGTAGCTACTTTTTCTAGAATACAATATTCATAACAGATAGTTCCTACTTTTTCTAGAATACAATATTCATAACAGATAGTCCCTGCTTTTTCTAGAATACAATATTCTATTCCTCGCTATTTTCTTAAAATACAATGTTCTTTAAAGGTATGCCACTTTCACAAAAGTCATGTTCTTAAAAGTTTTTCGGTAAAAAAGGAATCGCTGCAAATCCGCCAAACAAAAACTTATTGTTTAAAAATCAATTTTTGACCTTTATAAAAAGTAAACATTTTACCTGATTTTAACTTTAGGGTTTTAGTTCCCCTGTATTCTGTATCTAATTTACTAAAACCGAACACCCGACTGGTTAATCCAGGAACACTCGCCATTAATACAAGTTCAAATCTAGAATAATAAAACATCATGAATCAACGAATTTGTATCTACAATTCATTAAATATGTACGTGGACAAGTGATGGGAATTTATAAATAAGAGAAATATTTGAACTAGATACTAATATTTGAAGTACTTCTCTGCACTGGTTCAACTTAATTTTAGCGAGGCTCAAGGTACTCGAGTAGTTCTATTCTGTTATCTCCTTTATGTCACACGTGAACACTTTACTACTTTACTATTATTATTGTTTTTAACAAGATTTTTTTAAAGATAGCCTATATTTCAATCTTAACTAATGACAATCTGTTTTTAATATTTTTTACTCATACCTGGCCTCACCCAATTGTCCTGGAACTAACAAAACCGGTTTCGGTATAGGAACAATTTGATACTCAACTACAAACAATATTTAAATGTAAACAATATATCAACAATGTTTACAGTGGAACATATAACTCTATTAAAAATAGAACAACAACTGTTATATTAAGCTTATGCGTTTAAAGATTCAAAAAACATAAAATACAGTAACTGTGCAGTTGTACTTAAATGTACCACACAGTAACACTTCAGAGACACACTTCACTTTAATAAGTTGATTTTTATACATATGGTAAAATGATCTGCTTTATAACGGCAACAAATACAGAAAATATTGTTTTAATGTCGTCTTCTTATTCCACAGTTTTATGGGTGCAAAAAATATTTTGTTAAAAGGGCAGTATGATGAAATAAAGAGTAATTATCTACAGTTTGAAAACAAAAATTTAAATATATCTAAAAAGAATAAGAATCAACTTTAGAGAAATGTAAATGTACTCAATTGATCCTTTTAGACAGTATTAATTGTACCGCTTTTCTTATTAACATTTATTAAATGATTAGAAATAAACCTTGATTCTGCATTTCATCTAGGATAGTATATTCCTTGTTTTCTAGAACAGGGATTCGAACTGGAAAGGTTCTATTGGTTGCAGAAGGATTATAAACCACAGCAGTAAACGAATTCCTGAAATAAGCAAAGTAAATTATATCTGGTGGAATAAACCTTTGATAATTTTCACGATATAATCTAGATAGAATAATTCCTACTTCTATGGTCTACGACGTCTGGTTGCAAATTCAAGAATTATAAAATCACAGTTTAAAGACAGTTATCAGATTCATTTTTTTTCTCCTTCAAAATTGGAAGGTGTGTAAAGAGGGAATATCATGAATATCACAAACCCCTAGTAAAACTGAAAATACCCCAAATGCGTCTTAGATTAAGTCCTTTAAATACGCCCCTTTACAGATTAAAATGATTATTTCTGAAATTTTCAAACCAAACCTAGCATTATAAGACGATTTTTAAATTGAAACTATGACTATGGTCAACTTTTGGGTCAACCCAAATTTTCAATACATAAAATACGTAAAGTGGAAATTATATCTTAGATTTAGCTAATTATTTTTATATTTCAGTATTTATGTTTAGAATAAACTCCTGATGATGCCAACGTTTCTGGAGAATTATATTTAGAAGAAAAATTAAGAAATTCTCGTGAAGGGGTAAACTGGGGATTTATTTAAAAATAATTTAAAGTGCACTTGAACCATGAAATACTGTTCATGCATGGTCCAGGCACTTCAGCTAGAAACTCATATTTCATGCCAAAGTCGATATTAATGATTTATACCTGGATTCGGTAAATAAACATTGGCTCACGTTCAACATAGGGCACCACTCCTGAAGTAAAAAAGGTCGTCATTGTGTCTTCATTCTAAGGTCGTCTTTAGTTATGAAAAGAGATTACCCAAAATAAGTCGTCAGTTGTCATATGAGCATAATTTTTTATAAGAATTTAAGTCGAAATTTCTAAAAATATTGATTACTAATTAAATTATTTAAGCTTTTAATTTAAATATACAAAATAAGATTATGCATTAGAAATTACCAACATTCAGGAAATATTTTTTTATTCGATCAGTCTCGAGTTTATTTATTATTTAGCCTAAAGTTGAACTAAACCCCCGTATTCGTTACTCGAGAACATTCCACGAAAAAGGTCGTCATTAATTATTCTGCCCTTATTCGAAAAAATTATGTGTCTTAATAGCATTAGGTTTCCTGTAAAAGATCTAATTTTTTTTCTTTTAATGTGCATCGATAGAAGCGTAGGAATTTATAAAATGTCATCATTTTTAAGTCTGTGCATTGAAAGGTCATATTTTTTCTACTTTTAAGTTTTAAAATGTTGGCGACGTCGTAAAACTTACATTAAAGTTGCAGGATGCTCCGGTTTCTTGCATTACACCGTCGGCAATAATCTATACAAATTATATTTTTTTTATTTATACTTTTTTGATTACAAAAAGAAGGCCTTTTTGCAAACAAAATCGTTAAAAAACGTTTTTAGGTAGACAATATTACTGCGAGCTCAAATAATCATGAATTTTTGCAAATAAGCAGTGTAAAAATTTTTACTTGACTTGGACATATTTCTCGTTAAACATCAATCATTTTTGGCCTTTAATTTCTTACGTTTTTGTAGAAACAAATTAAAAAGTCAATGAATAATAAAATATCAAAGTTTAGATATAACAGTACATAACATCAACAGATTTTTCAAAAATGCAGGTTCTTGATGAATGACAATTATTGATCATATTTATCAGAACTCTCTCTATACAGTTGGGCCAATACAACTGTGACAAAGAAAGACGACATTAGACCATTTTATCGTATGTCACTTATAATAAGTTAAATAGGTCTGTGTACATTAAAATGCACAATTGCTATGTTAAATGTTCTATGGACTATCTAAAATCAAATTATGAGTTCAACAGTCGTCTTCCTATTTTGCAGTTTTATGGGCCCAACTGTACATAATTGTAGTGTAATCAACCTGGTGGCATGCTTGCATCCCTCTATACAGACTCAGATAGTAGTCATCAGTAACATGCTGTTTAGCTGTTCCTAGAGTAATCATCAGTTACATAATTACATCCTGTTTCGCTGTTTCTGGGGTAATAATTAGTTAACTGCTGTTCAGGTTTTCCCACAGTAACCATCTGTTACAGTCTGTTTGGGTGTTCTTATAGTAATCATCTGTTAGATCCTGTTTATCTGTTTCTGGAGTAATCATCAGTTACATACTGTTTAGCTGTTCCTAGGGTAATCATCTTAACTGATGAAATTAGCTCTTCCCAGAGTAATCATCTCTTAAATTCTGTTTAGGTGTTCCAAAAGTATAAATCTTCTATTAAACATCCTGTTTGGCTGTTTATAAAGTAATCGTCAGGTAAATCTGCTTAGCTTAACCTAGAATATTATCCAATACTAGATGTTTAGCTCTTTCTAGATTAATAATCTGCTTATCTGTTTCTAGAGTAATCATCAGTTAATTTCTGTTAAGCTCCTCTAAGTGTAATTATCTGTTATATTCTGTTTAAGTGTTCCTAGAAGTCATCATCAGTAACATGCTGTTTAGCTGTTTTTACATAGAGTAATCATCAGTAATTGTGTTACTTCATCACTACTCTTGTCTATGCCTGTAACAGCATCATGATGCTGTTTAACTGCATCACTACTCTTGTCTATACCTGTAACTGCAATATGATGCTGTTTAACTGCATCACTACTCTTGTCTATACCTGTAACTGCATCATAATGCATATTAACTGCATCACTACTCTTGTTTGTACCTGTAACTGCATAATTATGCATATTAACTGCATCACTACTCTTGTATGTACCTGCAACTGCATCATAATGCATATTAACTGCATCACTACTCTTGTCTGTACCTGTAACTGCATTATAATGCATATTAACTGCATCACTACTCTTGTTTGTACCTTAACTGCATCATAATGCATATTAACTGCATCACTACTCTTGTTTGTACCTGTAACTGCATAATTATGCATATTAACTGCATCACTACTCTTGTCTGTACCTGTAACTGCATTATAATGCATAGTAACTGCATCACTACTCTTGTTTGTACCTGTTACTGCATCATAATGAATATTAACTGCATCACTACTCTTCTCTGTACCTGTAACTGCATCATGATGCTGATTGACTGCAACGCTTCTCTTGGCAACGGCAAGCCTAGGATCTTCAGGTGAGTCTATATTAAAGCTCTCTACTTGTTTACACGCCTGGACAAGAAAATGTTCAAAATAAAGAAAGACGACTTTCAACCAAAAAGTTTAAATCAAGAAATATGTTGTTTTAGAACTTAAAGAAACTTAAAGCATGTTGATAATCTTTTCTTAAAATCTAGTTTTAAGTTTACTTCAAATTTTAAAAAAATGAGCAACAAAGACTTCTTAGAAAATCAGTGCCAAATTTAATAAAAATTGGGCTGAGATCTGAGAAGTCTAATATGGTCGTGTCTTTCTTTTGTATTACCCATCTGTAAACATTCGTTTCATTATAAATTGTTGAACGTTTTTTATTTATCGGCCAAATACGAAATTGAATTACAACCTTTTGCTTAGAATTCTACCTGGAGGAGAGTGTTTGCTTTTCTGATCATTCCCTTGAGAGCAGGACGGGATGTAAAGTATCCGCTCCAGTAGGCATCAGGATCAGACGCGTAGGGGAAGAAATCATCAGTTTTTGTCAGCAAGGACACTTCAGTACAAAATCAAAAGTTGATAAATCGGACATTTTAGGAATTCAGTCTATGCTTCAAATGTTCTAATCCTTGTAAATTTGCAACCTGATGATGTAAACCTTTGATATGTCAAAACTAAATCATTCGATCTAACAGAATTCATAGTTTGAAATATCAAAGGTCTACAACATTTGGTCGCAAAACATTATGGATTAGAAAATCACAGTTTGTGGCAAATTCCTTTGCTGGATTTCATTGGAACCGATGCAAAAAAAAACTTGTGTAAAAATAATAACTTTAGAAAAAATTGGTTTCCGTTTTGGGTATCTATGAAGGTCCTATCAATAAGAAAACATAAACAAAAACTAAAAATCTGCTCTCCGCCAATGAGAGCTTGAGAAAATGCGAGTTAGCAGTTTTTACGGATTAAGAACTTAATTGCTTTATTAAAAGGTTTGACCTCAGAAATACTTTTTGAAGGTTTTTCAATCAACCGCCATTTTAAAAATCTTTACAACTTCTGACATAAAAATAAATACACGTTTACCGTTGGCATTGTTTACTGATTTCAAATAGCAGGAAGGAGTAGAGTACATCAGATGGATTTTGTGACTGGTCTGAAAAAAAACACTTAAAAATTGATCAGGTAAATTAGAAGGAACAATTTGTATTCTAATCCACATTTCTTAGAAAATAAATATCTAAACTGTTTCAACTATTACGAAAATAATTGATTGCCTTATAGAAGTTTAAATACACCGCAAAAAAACTCAAATGTCTATATTTCTCGAAAGTTGAATTATAGAATTTATAGTTTTTTAGAATGATAAACCATTAAAACTTTTTGGAAGCTTATAACTAATAACTGAACTAAAATTACATTAAGAAATTAAAGATTGATTTTAAAGAATTAAAATATCAGAATAAAGATCAAGTATGGATTTGTTTCTTATTATAATAATCAGGAAGATAATTTGAAAAAAAATATTTAATTAAATCTATTATTTCTATAATCTATTTTCATAACCTTGTTCTGGTTCATATATTTGATAAGTTTATCCAGGTTTTTATACCACATATTGGCCTCTTGGTATTGAAAATCCTCACCTAAAATACACATTTAAATAAAAAAGTGTTCTAAACTCCTATCCTGACAAAATAGTAGAATCAGACATCTTATGTAAGAAAAAATATTTTTTTAAATTAAAATTTTTTTAAGATTTTCTAATTTACGCTCAATTTCTGAGAGGCTAATTACTTAATTACTTACCCATGGTCATCATTATATTGTTGGTTTTGTAATCACCAGTTTGTTCATAGGTCAGATTTATAAAGGAGGCAATCTAAATAACAAAGAAACTAATTACTCAACTGAAACTCTAATCCCTATAATTTTACAACCTGATGGTGTTAACCTTTGATATTTTGAACTTTGACATCTTAATCTAGCAGAATTCACAGTTTCTTTGACATAAGGATTATTAAATAGGAGTTTGAAGTAAATAATCTCTTTAAGTTTTTATTTAAAAAAAATCGAATAAAAATGTTGATTACCTTTTCATCTAGGTTATAATCCTCCATCAGTTTGTTGTCCATTATAACATCAGTACACAGAGAATCAAAACAAAATCCTAAATATTTTAGAGTTTTTAGAGGGTTTTTAGAAAATATGAACAGTTTTAATTACTATGAGCCAAAAACTTTTAGAGGAAAGGGACAAATAAGAATTTTAGAGATAGGTTATCTGTAGTTGTTCAAATATGGCGTTTTGATTTTTCAATTCTTCTTTTTCATAATTTTTACTCATTTTCCCGGTTATACCCATAATTAAATTTAAGTCCTTTAATTTAGAAGTGTACATATACGGTCGATCTTGAGTTAATTAGAAGAAGATAAGTGCTATCCACTGAATAAAGAACTAGATTTAACCTGGTGGAGGTCCGTAGGTGTTGTAATTAATTCCAGTAAATATATCTCCTTCTCCTGATCCTTCTTCTTTTCCTGCTTTCCAAACCATCTCCAAGTTTTTATCCGTCTTTCGTCTTAACAGGTTCAAGTTCTTGGTTTACAAACAAGAACAGGTTAAAGTTCTCTAATTTAAACAAGAATAGGTTCAATACAAACAAGAACAGATTCAATTTATTTTTACAAAGAAGAACAGGTTCAAGTTTTTTGTTTATAAACAAGAACAAGTTCAAATTCTTTCTTAATCCACAATAGCAGGTTTAAACAAGAACAGGTTCAGGTTCTTTATTTACAAACAAGAACAGGTTAAAGTTTTTTATTTACAAACAAGAACAAGTTCAAATTCTTTGTTAATCCACAATAACAGATCCAAACATAGAACAGGTTCAAGTTTTTATTTACGAACAAGAACAAGTTCAAATTCTTTGTTAATTCACGATAACAGATCCAAACAAGAACAGGTTCAAGTTTTTTATTTACAAACAAGAACAAGTTCAAATTCTTTGTTAATCCACAATAACAGATCTAAGCAAGAACAGGTTCAAGGTTTGTTTGCAAAAATGGACAGGGTCAAGTTCTTTGTTTACGAACACAATATTTATTGAATTTCTTTTAATAACAAGTTAAAACTGATTTGTTACGGGTTTCCAAGCTAAGCTAATTAAAACATTCTTTCTATTATTTTTCAATAAAAATTTAGATGTATTTCTTTGCCGCTAGATATAAGTTCTAAGCACAAAAAACTTTCTGCATTAAATCATTGCCAACATTTTTTCAGAAAATTTTTTTTTAACCTGATTTTGTCTGCATAGTCAATTCTTCCCAGAAATAATCCATCAAACCCAAACTAATATAAAATGTTACAAATAAAACCTTAAAATTGTTTCTAATAAAAGATTAGTAAATTAAATTTTGGTCAACCTAGAAAATGTAATTTTTACCCTGTGAAATATTCGTTGATTCCTTCAAATTGTTATAGTTTGATTCTTTAGAATGCTAGTTTAATCCATAAAAATGATAGTTCGATTAAAAAATGTCATGTTTAAATGTAACTTTAATCTTGCGAAATATTAGTTTATAACTATTCAGATGTTAGTTACATTCTGTGAAATTATATAGTTCAACCCTTTAAATTGTTAGTTTAATTCTTTATAATGGTAGTTTATTACTTTAGATTGTTAGTTTAATTCTTTATAATGGTAGTTTATTACTTTAGATTGTTAGTTTAATTCTTTATAATGGTAGTTTATTCCTTTAGATTTTAGTTTAATACTTTATAATGGTAGTTTATTCCTTTAGATTTTAGTTTAATTCTTTATAATGGTGGTTTATTCCTTTAAATTGTTAGTTTAATTCTTTATAATGGTAGTTTATTACTTTAAATTGTTAGTTTAATTCTTTAGAATTAATGGTAGTTTATTACTTTAAAATTATAGTTTAACTTCCTTGAAGATATGTTTTTTTCAAAGGAGATAAATTTCCTACCTTTGCTAAAATATTTGCGTATTCTTTGCTGTGACCAAATGGATCAATTTGCCATCCAACCTTAGGCCTTCCACAATCCCCAAATTCATCCTAAAGATAGACATTTTTTATATCTTGTTCAACTGAAAATTGAAATTGAAATTGAAAAAGCATAAAAACCTGCAAAAATTTGATTCCTAGCGCCATGTTGTCGATGACTGCAGAATAGTGCGCAGCAGCCTCGTCGTTCATACTCCAACCTCCACTCACCAGCTCTAATCTACAGAACAATAATCTCACTGGAAGGGGATAATTCATCCGCGGGGTACTGTCTCGTAATACGGTGAACCGTCCTTTAATACCAAAGAGAATAGAATAAATATTAGAGTGGAATTTACTAGAAAAAAGTGTAAAACGGCCATTTTGTTGTACTGTTTCCATACTGCAGATGTACTTCACATATTTGTGTTATATAACCTTTTGGGCCCTGGAACATCATTTTATAGAAAATCTAAAATTAATATTAAAAGAAAACCAAATTATGAAATAGGCTGGTTTCATAATTGACCATTGACCAATGATCATTTCACATAGACTCTATGCCTTTAACTTTACAAACGATGACTCCCCACTACAACTATAAATCAAATGATGTTTTTTATTCACCTAATTCATTTTATAAAGTTTATTTAACAGCTTTAAAACATTCCAAATTGAAATGGATAGTCTAGGGAGCATACTGTATAAATGTACTCTACTGCATATAATTTGTGAACATTTCCATGATTTGTACACTTTGAACTCCCTTTCAGACTGAAAGGGACTGACAAAATTCATACCGAGGGATTTGCTAAATTCCACTCTAATATATATTCTATTCTCTTTGGTTTAATACACCTGGTCCCGTAATGTGATGTACTGTCCCGTAATGCAGTGTATTGTCCCCACCATCAACTTTCATCAACAAGCTTTCTGTGTGTACTGCAGTAATTTCATGGGTACTGGAATAGGGTAAGGTACAGTCATACAATTCTAGTTATTCTAGCTTCTGTACCTTTCCTACGTCATATCCCGGTACAGGACACAAAGTGGGCACTGGTCCTAGAACTGTCTTGGGATAAGATCTGTTGTAGGCGAGTATACATGTAATTGTGATTGGCATTTCTTTGGCGGTCTGAGAATTCTCCACCAATAGTTTTAATCAGTGACGTCAGACACGTACAGATCTTCCCCCGTACCGTATCGACCTTTCATTTGTGCGCGAGCCTAGTAGCGATACCATATTCCAGTGCCCATGAGTAAATTGAAATACACCAATAAAATAGTTGGGTTTAGTGGTGAGTGTCCCATAATGCGGTGTACCACCACGTAATACAGAGAAGGGGGTGTTAGGTACTTTCCCATAGGAATTTTCCAAAGGGCAACTTCCCAATTGTCAATTTCCCAAGTGGAAGTTCCCAAATGTGCAATTTCCCAAGCGGCAACGGGGTACTGTCCCGTAATACAGGGACTGTCCTTTAATAGAGGGACTGTCCTGTAATACAGATTACTGTCCCGTAATACAGGGTACTGTCTAGTACTGCGGTGTACTTTCCTGTCTGTAATAAGGGTACTGTACAATTGGTTCAGTACTTTAAATAAACCGAAGCTCAAGTGAAAAATAACTGGAATAGAAGACAAAATAAAATCAAAACCAACTAAATTATTCTTTATTCTGGTAATTATCTGTTTACAGGAGTTGTTTTTTACCTTCCTTCATTGACAAGTTCTCTGACAGTTTCCTTCATCTCTAAATCCTGTTCCCCCCACCATCTCCAGAGAAAAGCAGATTCAACGTAAATAAATCTTTAAAAAAATAAAAATAAATGATCTAAAGAAATGGTTTAATAAAGTAAAGTTATGGAAATATAAGACATTTATTTTACTAATGATGACCATAAATGTTAAATGTTTCTCTGACCGTGGTAAACGGTTAATCCTATGTATCCAGCTTTGTAAATGAAAATATTAAAAGAAATTAAAGTTTAAAGTTTAACCTCCTTGAAGGATCCTTGAGAAGAGACTCAACAACACTATCAATAATGTACTGCACTCCTGCTCTCTGGATATCATTTCTAAAAGTAAACAACACTACCAAAAATGTACTGTACTGCAAACCTGCTTTCTGGATATTGTTTCTAAAAGTAAACAACACTACCAATAATGTACTGCACACCTGATCTCTTGATATCATTTCTAAAAGTAAACAACACTTTCAATAATTTACTGCGCATTTGCTATCTGGATATCATTTCTGATAGTAAACAACACTACCAACAATGTACTGCACTCCAGCTCTAAGGATTTCTTTTCTAAAAGTAAACAACACTATTAATAGTGTACTGCACTGCATGATCTCTGGATATTATTTCTAAAAGTAAACAACACCACCAATAATGTACTGCACTTCTGTTCTCTAGATATCATTTTTAGAAGTGAACAAAACTTTCAATAATGTACTGCAAAAATTAGCCTTGTGTTTAACTTTTATAATAGTACTGGTCATGCTTACCTAGCTCCATAGTAGTACTGATCAGGCTTACCTGGCTCCATATTAGTACTGATCATGCTTACCTAGCTCCATAGTTGTACTGATCAGGCTTGCTCCATAGTAGTACGGATCATAATTACCTAGCTCCATAGTTGTACTGATCATGATTACCTAGCTCCATAGTTGTACTGATCATGATTACCTAGCTCCATAGTTGTACTGATTATACTTACCTAGCTCCATAGTTGTAACGATCATGATTACCTAGCTCCATAGTTGTACTGATTATACTTACCTAGCTCCATAGTTGTAACGATCATGATTACCTAGCTCCATAGTTGTACTGATTATGTTTACCTAGCTACATAGTTGTAACGATCATGATTACCTAGCTCCATAGTAGTACTGATCTACAGTTTTCAACCATCCAACATCATCATGAGTATGTGGGACTAGATGTACGTTGATATGATCTTCTAGGGGTTGAGGACAGGAACTATATCCACACTCTCCTTCAACCTTGAAATATATTGCACCATTTCACTTTTTTTAATTTGTTTAATGCGTATGCGTATGATTATGATATCATTATGCCTTAACTTGTTTATGTTTTGATGCAAATAGCTTCTTAATAGCACTTAATTGAAAGAAAATATCTATCTTAAAAAACTATAATGTTAAAAATCAAATTTTGTTAGTCCGTCATTATTTTGGAATATTTTGACATGGGACGCAGACCTTCATTCCCTATATCTTTGCTTTCCAACATTTGTGTATACAACATTTTGTACACCTAGACCAGAGTCCAAAACTTAAGACAGAGTATCTTCATAAAACCCAGTATCGGAAACCGGATTTCACAAATAGGGTCCCCTATGCCTGTATTTATGATGCGATATATACCGGATACAAGTGCTTTCCCCCACATGTTCATGTGCACCTGGGTGTACCTATAAAGAGTTTAAAGAAAGGAGGAAAGGAGATTAACAGCTGATTCTCCAGGTTTAAGCAACTAGGCTGACCCATCTCTGTCTACTTTACTCCGGCACAGGGGAAACAATATAACATGAGGTCAGAAATGTCTAATTACCTTGGATATAAAGAAAAGAATTAGAAGTTTTGTAAAATATTTGAGAAATAGAATAATCAGTCGGAAGTTTTTAAGTTTGATTTAAGTCAATTACAGAAAACTTACGTTTTTCCTGAAAAATAAATGCAACATTAAAAAATGAAAATCCTATGACATGTGTTTATTTATAGAAAAAAAAGACCGAATATATCTTAAAAGAGACAGACTTGAAATATTTCATTTTTTATCCTAAAAAAATAATTTTGCAGCAAAGTATCCCGTGAGACTCTTTATGAGTGTGCAGGAGCCGTCCTTGCAGCTGCAAAGGTAAAATTAAGATCTTATAAATATTATTTTTACACAAAACGATTTAAAAACGAATTATATTAAACTCAATTAAAATACAAAATTACTCATTAAAAATAATATTTCAAAATAGAACTATAAGAATATTTACCACATTGTAACCTTTCATTCATGCTATATGGAATTGAAATTCTATGAAAAAAGAAAGTTTAGATTTTATGGGTGCCATTAAAAAAGGGCTAAAATAGTGTTTGCTGTTTAAGTTGCCGGACACAGTTGTCAGCCACCCGGCTTTCTTTTCTTTATTTTTATATTAGTTCTTGGTGGATTGCCCAGGATTTAAACTTAAATCCTTATATTTAAAAGGTTTTGTTGTGAATATCTAGATTAGTCGATGTGGTTTCGCGCTGAATCATATGTTTTTAGGCTAAGCAGCGTAAGTTCACAGAGAGTGTTGAACTTCAAGTTGGATTGAAGAACTACGATCCCCAGAAGGATAAACGTTTCTCCGGCACTGTCAAGTACGTTCACCTCACGATCCATACTCGGGGAATCAATTGAGATTTTCAATTTATATTTTTCAAAGACGACATTCAATTGCTTCCCAGAGGATTATTGAGGTAGCCTGTTAAACCGGGCGGACCTAAACCCAGGGTCTTAAATATTGGGTAGGCCTTGGGCCGGTACATTTTATTAGAATTACGAAACTGTCAGAGCAGGTAGAATTCAGATACAAATTCTTTACACTGGGACCCATCAAACTCTTGAATAGAAATTAATATTCAAGCAATCATATGTTTGATGTTGTTTAAAGCAACTAAGTTAATCAGTAGCTTAAAAATCAAGTTATTTATGTATCTGTGTACACTGCACAATAACGTGTCTCATGTTCATGACTATTTAATAATATTCAATATTTAATTAATAAAACTTGAGTCTGCAATTTCGTCTTCTTTCTCTTCCACAGTTTTATGGGTTTCACTCTCAGACTTTAGATATATCTATAGTCTGAGGTTTCAATGGATAATGTTACATAGAAAATTTAGATGTGACATTTTTAATTCTGTTTAGACTCCGTCATATTCCCCGTTCAAAGTTTACCGTTTGTGTCCTAGGGGATCAGCAACATTGTGACGAAGCTAAGGAGCAAGGTGAGAACACTAAAAAAATCTTTGTTTATTACAAATCTTCGTTTTTTAAACTAGAATAAAAGAATCTGTTCCCACTGTCTCATCTCTGTCTATTTATCTATTTATCTCCGATAACTATCTACTCTTTCTTCATATTCAGCCTATCTTATATTTACCATATCTTCCTATCTAACAACCTATCTACCTATCTACTTATCTACCTATCTACCTATCTACCTATCTAGTATCTAACCTTTCTACCTATCTACCTATCTACCTATCTACCTATCTAGTATCTAACCTATCTACCTATCTAACCTAGATACCTATCTAAACAATATACATATCTAACCTATCTACCTGTTTACCTATCTAGTATCTAACCTATCTACCTATCTACCTATCTACCTATCTAACCTATCTACCTATCTAACCTATCTACCTATCTAGCTATCTAGTATCCAACCTATCTACCTATCTAACCTATAAACTTATCTAATCTATATACATATCTAACCTATCTGCCTATCTACCTATCAAACTTATCTACCTATCTACCTATCTAGTATCTAACCTATCTACCTATCTAACCTATATACCTATGTAATATATACATATCTAACCTATCTGCCTATCTACCTATCAAACTTATCTACCTATCTACCTATCTAGTATCTAACCTATCTACCTATCTAACCTATATACCTATGTAATCAATATACATATCCAACCTATCTACCTATCTACCTATCTAGTATCTAACCTATCTATCTATCTAGCCTACCTACCTATCTAACCTATCTATCTATCTAACCTACCTACCTATCTAACCTATCTGTCTATATTTCTAGGCCTGCCGTGTATGTCCGCTGATGACCTGAAGAAGTTAAACAAGGATAAGAAGAAAGTGAAGAAGCTAGCTAAAGGTTATGATGCATTCCTTGCATCAGATACACTCATCAAGCAGATCCCTAGGCTTCTAGGCCCTGGACTGAATAAGGTATTTAAAGCAGCTTTTCAAAAGTCGCTTTTGTCTCAATAAGAAATGTCCAGCCTTTTGGTAAATCAAGTAAAAAATCTTTACTTATTTCTTAATTTTTTCAATATCGTTTTATTGTTATTATTATTGTTGTTGTTGTTGTTATTATTATTATTATTATTGTTGTTGTTGTTATTATTATTATTATTATCATTGTTATTATTATTATATGTAGTATTAGTATCATTTTTATAATTATCATAATCTCAGGCTGGAAAGTTCCCAACTTTGATCACTCACAACGACGACCTTTCTGCCAAGGTACGAAACTGTTTACATTTAATTAAATAAAGGAATTGTTCCTGGAGTAGATATGGATCCGAATATTAATCAAGTCCAAATTTTAGCCACCCAATTGACCCACAAAATGAACTTCTTTTTGTACTGTTTAGACTAAATATTCCCACCCATAAACACTGAGTACATTTTTTACTGCTGTACTATAATGTACCAAGGATAAATACAACATTTTGTACACCTAGACCAGAGTCCAAAACTTAAGACAGAGTATCTTCATAAAACCCAGTATCGGAAACCGGATTTCACAAATAGGGTATTTTGTTTTATGTAGTTAGTTTATATTTAATATTTAATATAACATTTAATATTTATTTATATACCACATAAAGGAAACTCGAGAGATTTGTTAAACGATACATTTTTTATTTCTGGCTCTGGCTCTGTACTACGTACTGTACTGTAACTTTTTTGTATCAAGTATATAAATACATATGAATATTTTGTGCAAAATGTGCACTGTACATATGTACTGTATGTACTGTAGGTGAATGATCTGAAGGCTACAATCAAGTTCCAAATGAAGAAAGTCTTGTGTCTCTCTGTAGCTGTCGGCAATGTTACCATGACAGAAGACGAGCTGGTGAGTTTTAAATAGAAGACGAGAAATAGAAGTCGTCTTTCATTAAATTTTCTTGTTGGGTTTAGTAGATAAATCATTCTCAAAACAATAGAATATACATGTAGCTACAATGCTCGGGAACCCTGCTTTGCTTGGGGTTTTTGCTACAAATGTCAACCCACTCATTAGTTATGATCAGACATTAAAACAGGCAAACACAGAACTAAAACAGAAATTACTACTTTATTTATATCGAATACATATTATTTTATTTTCATAAGATTATTTGATATTTTTTGAACAGTTACATGAAACAATATCTTTTATTTTAACCATTGAAAGTTAAGCAACAAATAATTAAATTTATTTAAAAAAATATTTTTTTTCAGGTACAAAATGTTCATCTGGCGATGAACTTCCTGGTTTCCCTGTTGAAGAAGCACTGGCAGAACGTGAGGTCTCTCCACATCAAGTCCACCATGGGACCTGTTCAGAGACTTTACTAAATCACAAGACCTCTCAAATACAATTATTTTAAACTGTATTTTAGGTCTGTAAAAATAAATCTTTGCTCTTAATATTCCTCAGTATTTTTTACTTGCAGTGTGGATTTGAAAAACTTGGCAAAATATTGGGTTGAAGAAAAGGAAATATAAAAAAAAGTGTTAGGCGATTATATCAATACAATCAAGACAACTTTCGATTAAACTTTTGATTTATATCAACCTGTTAAACAGCATGGATGCATATAAACATAAAAATGAAGAGAAGCTGGCAATTTAAAAATATTCTCTTTGATAACTTGTAAACTTGTAATTCGAAAAGAACTTGTCAACAATCAAAAATTAAATAAAAAAGTCTTCTTCATATATTTTATTGATATTCGTTTACTACTGTATTAAAAAGTATAGGTAAATGAAGGTCTTTGTTTTCTCTTCTGAGTTTCATTATTTCTTCTAGCTCGAACATTTTTTAGACATAACAGTTCGAACTATTTATAGTTACTAGTTTAGTTCCTAGAAACCCAGCTTTGTCTGGAGTTTTCCCTATAAAAGTCAAACCACTGAACTTAGAATTTTTAAACCAGAATAAGAACGTGTCCGTGAATCTACTAAGTCACCCAATCTAAATTAGAGGAAAATCTGACTAAGGGTTTATTGAGTTATGCTAGGATATCGAAACAATCAAACAGAAATTACTACAGGGTGTCCCAATAAACATGGAAATTCAATGACGAATGTGAAATCGTCTTTATAAATAATTCTTTGATTTAGAATAGTACTACCTACTGAGAAAGCTGTAATCTGTAAGAGTTTCGTCTGCTATGTTCACATTTTGTTTGTTTATGTTTTGACTGCATACGGTTGTCTTAGTAAAACAAGAAAATTGCAGTATATGATAGAGTAAACTTACTTGTCCGTCTTCACTGTTCATCTTGCGGGCACATTACAGACACATCTTTACAGTCTTTTACCCTTTTCATAAAATAAACTCTAGGAGACATAATAATATTATGGATTTTGAAATTAGGTATTACAATGCTAATTCATAACAAAGACGATATCGAATTCGTCACTGAATTCCCAAGTTTTTTTCGGACACCCTGTACTTTATATATATAGATATACTAGCTTGGAACCCAGCATTGCCTTGAGAGTTGAGACTGATGTTCCTCGGCAGATAAAATAGTCAACTTACTCAATTAAAAATTTCGAAATCCTTTTTCCTTTTGTCCATTAAAATCATGAATTACGATCGGACATTCAAATATCCAAACAGTTAATTAGAGATTACTACTTTATATACAGGATTATCCACAAAAGATGAGACTTCAGAGACGATTGTACAGAATTCATATATTTTTCCTTATATTTAGGATTCTCTACACCTGTAAACTGTTTATTTTTCGTTGCCATGTCAATAAATAGGCCATTAGAAGACAATATAAAAGGCAGAAGACTTAATTTAACCCTATAATCGTCACATTTTATGAGTTTCAGGTCGTCTTTACAGTCTCATCATTTGTGGGTAACCCTGCAACAGATTTTATTGTAATAATTAATTTGAAATTACAAACAAATTAATTCAACTTTATAGTTGCATTATTTATTTAAAATCAAAGCAAGACAAAGACGACAAGTGTCATTGTTTCTTAAAATACAATTTAAGTGTGAAATCATGCTTGATGAGACATTAGAAAAGATTACAAATGTATTTTAGAAGGTTTGGAATATCGTCTTCCATTTAAAATGAATCCGATCATATATACCTATCTACATAATTAAGACCTTCGGTTTGATCTTACAAACACTTTTGAAAATAATTTAAAATTTAAGCAATTAACTATTCCTCTGTCATAGACTGGATGAAATATCTTACTTTTTAGAAAAAAACATATTATTTTCAACCGTGGTTTCTCTTTGAAAGGGACTTGAAGGAATTTGTAAGAATTTAACGTGTTTTAAGATTTGATATAGGACAATATACTCCTCAGATAGAGTTTTTTCAGGGTATTCTTGTGAATTAGATATGAGTTCTATAAAAGAAGGTTCACATATATTTACGTCTGTAGTTCCTTTGATTGGTTTTAGGTTGTTACTACAATAACAAAGATTGTAAATAACCCTATGTTCGAATCAAAATTTTTGTTCTAAAGGTCGTCTTTCTATGCTATACTTTATTTTGAAAACTCCTGTAAGGAGTAAATAAGATGAAAGTAGGTTCAGTGGAGAGCATGCAGAAGGATGGGGCCGGGGGTAGGGAGGAAGGGAGATACAGGCAAAGTTTTTTCCGTTTTATGAATTCAATGATATTTCTAAAGAGCTTTGAGACAGAAATAAATTTTTATTGTAGGTATTTCATCTTTTATACGTTTTTTTCCCTAAAGATTTAAACAACCAGAAAATAAATTGATCAAATAGTTTATTTCTTTTTAAATAAATAAATAAATTTCACAGCATGGATGAATTGAGCTGACTGAGTTGTATAAACTCCTCCTCCTGCTCCTCTTGTTTAACCATGGTAGGGTTTAGGGTGGTTCTTGGAGCAGGCCTGGGTGGGTAGAGTGAGGGTAAGCTGCTCGCAAGATGGTTCTCCAATGATGATCTCCTTCTGGTCAACAGTGTTGGTGGCATCCTGGAACTTGGCAACGTTGAAGCACTCCCTCTCAACCTTGTCCTCGCACTTGACCTCAACGATCTCGAGGGTCTTGGTGACACAGACCTTGCTGGGGGCGGGGTAGGCGAGCTTGCAGGATTCGAGCTTGGGCTCAGTGACGAGGGGAACACGGTATGCCTGGGTTTGGTATTCCTCTCTGCAGTATTGATGTTCTCCGGCTCCGTATCCTGGGGTTCCGTATCCAGAGGCAGAGCAGGTTGTAACCTTCATGGTCTCAGACTTCTCGGCGTAGGTGACCTGGGTGGTGGTGCAGTCAGCGACGACATCCTCCCTGGCATACTCGTAGGTGCAGATCTCTCTGTCGACAAAGCTGCTGGTCTCCTCGCACACGGTGAGGACCCTGTCGAAGCAGTAGTCGTTGTCAACGACCTCCTTGACGGCGAGGGTGACAGGGGTGATCTGCTCGGCGAAGGCGGGGACGCACACCTCAGCGTAGATGGAGGTGTTGGTGTCCCTGCACAGGTATTCAGGGGCGGGAGCGTATCCGCTGTCAGCGGCTACAACGGCGATGGTTACGGCGAGTGCGAGGAATCCCTGAAAAATTAAAATATATATATATAAAGTATCACTCTTCTTAATTCATATAATTATGAAAACTTGAATTTGAAAATGATTATTTAATTACTCTTAATTAAGATTTAAATGTTTCAAAGATCAAAATTTCCCACCATATTTAGATCTAAATGCATCTGTTGTGGTGTATAAATATTCAGTTAAAATCACTTCCTTTATTATGTATATTGTTTAACTATTGAAGATGTTTTACCTGCATGTTGTTTCTACTACGGATACTGCTGATCCAATGATACAATATCACGCTTTACCATATCATTTATAGCTCACTACGCAAACCAAGACGCCGAAGTAGCGACGCCTCTGGTCGCGTCAGTCCATCGTATCCGCGTCGGTACGCCGTAAAGCAGCTGTCAACGGGACCGTACGCAACAGCTGCGTACAGACCCGTCTGTTGCCGGTCTGGGTTGTCTGTCTGTTTGACTCGATGGTTCTGGGCGTATCTTTAAGAAACACGCCTTCAAAAATGCAAAAAAGTTTAAATAAAAAATATAGTTTTTGAAAAATATGCATCTTATCAAATCAATCTGGATCAATTTGTCTAAGCCACAAAGGTTCAAAATGTTTTCTTGGCCATATTTGCCTTAAGAAAATTCCCACATTTTCTGAAAAGCAGTTTTAATAATACATAAAATACAGAAATAATGTGAAATGACGGAAAGATTAGTAAAAGATTTATTTATTTCATAAAAATGATAATGGTAATAATGAGTATGATAATAATAATAATAATAATGATTATATCAATAATAATAATCATTATTATTATTCTCTTTTAAAACTGATCCAAAAGCTCTTCAATTAATTATTTTAACTATTTCCATTTTCCATTTGGGTCATTATGCAAGATAGACTTTATTTCTTTCAACCCCAAACTGGTTCTAAATATATATATATATTTGCAAAAATATTTTTATATTTATATATATTTGCACATTTTTAACTGAATTGCAAGCTTGGGTTAAAAGGTATTTTGACCGAGTTAGTAATCTTATAAATGTTTCTGTCAGATAAACGAGTATAGGAATAAATAGGGTATAACAGCTGGATTGCCTGGTGTTGCCGGGGGAGCTAAAAATAAATCTAATTTTTAAAAAATCGATTTTTCTAGAAAAATTTAATTTTAGAAATTTTAAGTACATTTTCCTCAAACATTTTCAGCCAAAGCGTTCTAGCCGTTTGGCCAGTTATAGCTAACATATATACATACACAAATATATAGTTATATGAGCGAAGCAATATATATAAATAGCATATATAGATAGCAATATATAAAATAGAATATTATATGGATAGTAGGATAGGGTTCAAACTTAAATTTGAATTTGCGGGGAGGTGCATAATAATAAGTAAATATATCTATATGAAAAATATTTAGGTGAAATTAGCATTTTTTTGGTTGGCTGTAAGTTTCACCTTTACACTTTTTTCTCTGAAAGCTTCATTTTCACCCGATCATAATGAATTAATATCAAAATGTCTGTAGAGTGTTAGACTATGTGAAAAAATTGTTGGAATTGGTGAACTCTGCTCTGAATAAATTCTCTCTGTCTATTCAGAGTTTTAGGATTATATTGAATACATTTAAACCTATTCTTGTCATTTTTAAGACAGTCCTGGACATGGATATTAAAAAGAATGGATAAATTATATTCTAGGTTTGATGTAATTTTATGGCTGGTGTGTCATGCAGTAAGTTATACATTGGACAATGGACAAATGCCTTTATCTTTGGTTTTCGTAAAGTTAACAGTTTTCAAAGTAGAATAGAAAAACATTGTAAGTCAAAACTTGGTAAACTTCAGCCTCCTTCTTTGCTTCATAAAGTTTTTTAAACAACCTTCATTACATTTAATAATATAAATATCTCAGTCAAATCTTATGGTACAAAAACGTCAGACCACTTTTTGGAAATCTCAAAACAAGGCAACTTGTAGGAGGCAATTTATATTTAGCTACGGTATATCATTTCTGCTTACTCCAGGGCCCACCATTTAACAAAGCTCTTTTTTGATTTGAACCCTCAACGTCACTTCAAACTTTTTAAAAAGAACAAATTATTTTTTTATAGAATGAAGGATATGAAGGATAGCCAGAATGAACGACAGCCAGAATGAAAATTTCTCATAAAAATTTCAAATTAACACAAAGGTATAAAAAGGTATAAAACAAAGAAAAAAAAATCTTTTTTTGGATGAAAATCTTTGAGTTTTTCATTTTTTTTTAAGGGGGAGGGGTTAATCACTTTTTTTTAGGAATTGAGTTTTTGCCACATAGTCAAATTTTAAAATCCATATATCTTTGCAACCTGATGTTGTTAAATTTTGGTATTTCAAATTTAGATTATTAATCTTTAAATATAGTTCTTAGTTTAAAATATCTAAGAAATTGGGTTGCGAAGATATAGGGATTGGAAAATCAGAGTTTGTGACAAAGAATCAATTTCTTTACAAAGAATTCATGAATTTCCAATAATTTTCAAATAAAATTGAAAAATTGTTAGCGTTGGCAAAATTTAGTTATTTCTTCTTCCGCGGTTTTGTTTTTAAAACATTTTAATCCAAGCTTGCGCTTCATTACGTTATTGATGTTTAGTGAAAACTTAGTTTGAGACAAAAATCTTAGATTTTTGATATAATTCGTCGAAGTAATATCTGTTAATTTTGTAATTCTAAAGGAAGGTCCGTTTGTTCTGAATCTTCATGACAGAAACAAATCTTAAGAACTGAAGAGGGTCAATCCAGACCGACATAAATCTTAAAAAAATGTGGAACTATCATGGTTTGGAGGTTTGGAGCTTCTTTAACACCGAATTTTGAATGAAAGGTACGGCATCAGTGATTAAACCATATATTTAAAAGCAATATTTGTCTATTCTATTTTTAGATGAAAACCATATAACCCGTATCTTACACAATGGTTCTCTCAGGTTTATGACTACGTAGAATCCACATAAACGGCGTAGATACTATAATAATTTATGCCGCGTAGAATCTGAACACACAAGAAATGCAGGAAACTGAATTCCACAAATATTAACAGATTTTCGTAAATTGGCAAGATCATTATACTTGATGGCAGTTCTGCAGTAGAGCATAGTAAATAGATTTTAAACCAAAATACGGGGAATTATCGTTTAAACATTAAGCCACCATATTAAATTTACATATGTATATTTAAGCACTTGAAGTTTACAGTTATATATTTAATGGTTTATGTATATACGCTGCAAGAGGTAGACGTTACCCCCCTGCTGTTTACATGAATTATTAATTACAAACCATTCAACAAGATCATTTCAGAGTCTTATTTAAGAACATTCTAATAGTTAAAGCTCCAATGTATATACTATATGTAGGTAAGGGTGTATAGGTGTATGTAAGGGTCTATGTATGTCACACTTTAGTGCTTCCTCAATACACTGCTACTTAAATTTCGGTGTTTTGGTGTACAAGAACAATTTCTTCCAGTTGAGTCACTTAAATATAAAATAAAATATATGTTTCATAAAGTTTAACAGTTATTTTTTCCTCCAAAATCTAAACATTTTGTGGCCTCTTAAAGGTTCCTATAGTAGAGTAAATGAATTTGATTTTTTTAAATCCAAGGAGAGAACGCCCCGCAGTTTTGTTTTGCTAAACTATTTGGCGAAGTCCACTCCAAGATTCTGAAGAAAGGCAACCTCCCGTGATTATACTATTCCAGATTAAGTTTGGATAGATAGTAATTTACGGAAGGGTGGCTTTTATCAAATGGGCGTCCATGGCATATTTTATAAGAAATTACCTCTAACCTGGAGGTACTAAAATCACGTAAAAATGAGCTCTGCAACACAAAAAATACACTAACCTCTATTAAAATTAAACAAAATTGAACATTGATATCGATAAACCATTCCTTATCGACCAGTCTCAATATTGCTTGTGAAGTTGTGGTTCGGTCTATTTAGAATTACGACCATATGTTCTACATTTCGAACAATTTCGTTATAACAATAAGTGTAGTTATATAAATAACTATTTGGATCTTGTAATTGGAGAGGGGAGGGGGACCTTCCTCCAATACTGGGAGATGTAAATTTATCAATGAGTAACAGTAAAAATAAATACATAGTAATTATAAGTTTAAACTGATTTTAGGCCTTAATACCAATACCATGGGTTAAACTTAAACTTATTGATTCTAAAAGGGAGTGACTGGTAATGTACGTTAGTTGAACTGAGATTGCAATATTATTGAGTAATTTTTGAGGATTCTCAGTTCAATTACCATACATTGCCGGTCACTCCCTTTATGGTATGTTTAGGCTTGAACAGCATGCAGTGGTTTAACTAATGAACAACATTCAAAAGTTCTGACCCAGGTTAGATCAAAAATATTTAAGACTATAGTGTGAATATTAATATAATATGATTTATAATATTACTTTTTATAAGTCATAAAATAATTTGTTTGTATATACTAATGAGAAAACTGCACAACCATTCCTCAGATCTGAACATTAAATTTCGTTCACATTTTTTTTACAATTTTGAAAAAATTTAACTTAGCTAGTTCTTGCAACAAACTCAAATTTTCTAATTCCTATATCTTGATGGTGCAAACCCTTGACATTTCAAACTTAGACTATTGACTACAGTTCAAAGTTTGAAATATAGAAGTTACACGATTGACAATCGGGTTGTAAAAAAATGGGATTAAACAATCAGAGTTTGCGGTAAAAAAAATGGGATTAAACAATTAAAAATTAGATTTATTGCTTATTACAAAAGAGTTGAGTGCGGGGTAAAACTTGAGATAAGGAATTTTCTTTAAACCAAGGTTGTATAATCTAGGTTGGTTACTCTCGATGCGCTCCAAAGTACGGAAAATGTCGTCTCCTAAGATAGATTGATAAAAACCTAATATGACGTCACTGATTATAGAGGCGAGAGTGCCGTCATATGAGGTTTTTATTTATCTATCTTAGGAGACGACATTTTCCGTACTTTGGAGCGCATTGAGAGGAATCAACCTTATTATGCAACCTTGGTTTAAACTCAAAATATTCATCAGACATAGTTTAGTAATATATGTATCCGTGAACGGAAGCAGGAGAACATGAAGAACCATCACGTTTCTTTTAATCCATTCCACGATCTTTCTCAAGATTTAAAAACTCATAAACTCTCAAAATGTCTTGATTTAATCCTTTCAAATCTGCGCTATACTTTTTCTGCATCTATAGATTTTAAGAGATATATTTAT